TATATTATGTGTGTTAGTACTTTAAGCTCAATCATATACACACATACACGTTTTGGTTTTGTATATATATAGTTATATATATACATATATGTTTTCGTTTGATAGTTTTCAAGTTTTAATATGAAACAATTTAATATAATTAGAAAACATATTTTTGTTTCATACTTATATGCATATATATGATTTCATCAATATCAATTTTATTTAGTTCAATGAAATCATGTTTTAGTGCATTATATGTGTATTTTGATAAAATACTATATTTATTATTTATAGACTTCATAACAATAGTTTACATCTTTCTTCAAGTCTATAAAATCATTTTGTAAAGTTTCAAAATATGGTTTAGGCAAAATGTCAAAATTCATATGTTTATATTTCTATGTTTTGGACCTCCTTACAAAATGATGATATTTTACATTTGGGAAGTCCTTTTTGAAAACCAGTTTTTGTAACATGTTTACTATCATGTCTACAATCATTTCTCAAAGTTTTATATTTTTCTGATTTTATTTGCTATTTTTAAAAGAGATTTGAAAATCAGATTTCTGTTTAAAACAGACTGTGTGCATGTCTTGAGTTGACTCATGAACAGTGTTGAGTCGACTCAAAAACTGTTGTGTAGTTTACATTTTGGTTCTGACGAGTCGACTCATAACATCATGAGTCGACCCATCAGGTTGAGTCGACTCATGCCTGTCATAAGTCGACTCATGAAGTGTGCTGGAAAACTAGTTTTGTTTCTGCTGAGTCGACCCATGAATTCATGAGTCGACCCATGCATGATGAGTCGACTCATGAATTTTATGAGTCGACCCATAAGTTGGTTTTTAGCCTGTAACGGCTACTTATGAGTCGACTCATGAAAAGTACGAGTCGACTCAAGAAAAGTACGAGTCGACTCATAACACTGTCACGACTATATTTTCAAACTGTATTGTTTTTGGGTTTTTGGTCTTTTTGCCTTATTTTCTCTTGGCTTTGGGGTTCCTATAAATACCCCCACATATCCTCAGTTCAAACTAACTAAGAGAATGTTTTAAAAAAGTTTAACAAGGGTTTAAAGTTTGTTTTGAGTTTGTTTAAAGGTGTTTAAGCCTTGTTTAAGAGTTTCGTTTGTGAAGACAATTTCACAAGGGCTTGAGGAGATAATCTTTGGTGTTTGAGCTTCAAATCATCTCTCTCACTCTTATCATTTATTGGAGAAGTTTTCTAAACTCAATCTAGTTTTACATTTTATTGTTTGATTATCCTTTTATTAAGCTAGTGTTTATATTGAGTTTAGTTAATTTTATTTATCTCTTTGTACACACACAACCATTGAGCTTATTGTATTTTCATACTTAGTATAATTTGGGTTGTGGGATTGTGTGACTTAGAGTGTGAGCTTACATTGTGTTCTCATCCATTATAGAGAATAAATTTATTTGTATTTGTGAACCTTAATTGTGAGAAACACTTTGTAATACACTAGTACACCAAGAGGAGTATGTGGTGAGGACGGAGTCGATACCGAGAGGAGTAGCGTCGGTGGCCTAGTGAAAGGTGATAATTCCGAGCACTTGAGGGAGTCGATACGTGAGGACCAACACTTGAGGTGGTAGTTAGTATAGTTACATTGTGATTGTGAAAGTTGATCGGTGAGCGTTAAAAACTGATATTATGTGGTGTAAACGTTTTCGGGTGATCGTTAAAAACCCGGTGTGATAGTGGAATTCTCCTCGGGAGTGGGGAGCGAAGACGAAGGACGAGAGGTCCGAACTCCGTGATCATATTGTTTGTTTGAGTTTGGCTTGACGCACTTATATTTGTGAACATCTTTATTGCCACTCTCATTGTTTATTTCATCCACTATATTGTTTATATCTTGTTTCACCCTTATTAAATCGGATTAGATTAGCATAAACCCTATTCCCCCCCCCCCCCTCTAGGGTTCTTTCATAGCGACCTTAGGGTCCAACAGTTTCTGGTCGCTAAAAACATTGTAGCGTAGTGTATCAAAGTAGACTTGTCAACTATTTGAGTTTAAATTGTATTTTGACGAAAATGGGAACACCATAATAGAAGTAAAACCAAGGCAGGAAGCCTTTGGTATTGTTCTCATGGGTAGAACCAAGGTAGGAAGCCCTTGCTACTAGATCTTTGTCAACTAGGCAATGAATACCAAAGCCCTTGGTGTCTCTTGAGAGTAAAACCAAGGCACATACCAAGCCCTTGATATTATTCTCACGAGTAAAGCCAATGCATGAAGCCTTTGCCACTCAATCTTCATCGACTCGGTAACAACACCGAAGCTCTTAGTGTCTTTTCAAAGTAAAACTAAAGCATGTACCAATCCTTTAGTATCATTCTCACAAATAAAATCAAGGCATGAAACTCTTGCCACTTGTTTTTCATTGACTCAGTAACAATCACAAAAGTTCATGGTGTCTTTTCAGAAAACTCAAGGCACAGTGGGAAGCCCTCATGACTCGATCTTTATTGACTCATTCGGCATTCACATGCCCTTGGCATCAGTTTTCAAAATTGAACTTAAGGCACGAACAAAAGACATTGAGGCTAGGCCCTCACCAAAAGCTTCCAACAAGCCTAAGATATACGACACTAAGGCAACACCCGACTCTTCACCAATGTGCCCAAAAAACAAGAGAACTCACGACTCGGTCCTCACAACTCGTTCAAAAATGTCTCAAAAAATCAAAAGCACAAACGGGAAACAACTCATAAACTAAGTGAGAAAGAACGAGTCAACAAAAGAAAGTCTTTATTATTCATTTAGAAAAATATTAAAAGACTCTCTTACAAAGACTCAACAAAAAATAATAATAACAGTAATACATTCCCCTTAAGGAGTAGCATCCGAGACATGAACCGGAGGTGAATCCTAGCCAGAAGCATCACAAGGAGGGGAGTCGGGCCTCTTAGATGAGGAAGAAGAACCGACATCGTCATCAAGGCCTTCACCAATATCTTGCTGGCAGCCTCCTTACCTTCCCCTTCATCGACAGCCTCCTCATTCTCCTGCACTATTCTTAGCTTGCCTTGCACCTCGAGTGTCTTAAGAACATCAAGGTTGTTTGCCACTCGGGAAGGATACTTGAAGCGATCCTCCTTCACTAGAAGCTCACGAGAGAGCTAACGCTTTAGATAATCAAATGCTGCCTTACAAGCAAGGGACACTTCGACCTTACCCAGGTAACTGTTGTGGTAAGTCTCAATTATCTCGGCCTCAAAGGCTTTCGACTCCAGATGAGCCATCCTGGTCTCGAGCTCTTGAACTTGGGCATAGAAAGAGTTACACTACAGCCCAGCCTCAGTAGTCACCCAGACAACTTCCTAATGGAGTATCTCCTGAAGAGCCACCTCCTCATTCAGTTTGGCCCATAGCTCTTTTGATTCGGTCCAAGTGATATGTGCCCCATCGAGGGCATCTTTCTTCTCCCTCTTGTCAGCCCAGACTTCTGACTTGAGATATGCCAATCTCTCCTTGGCGAGTCTCATGTCATGATGAGCATGGTCAAGATCCTCCTTAAGGCTCTTCACCTCCTCCTGGGCTTGTGGTAACTGATACTCGTGACACTGAGCACCACCCATAGCCACCTTTAGCTCCCTATCCTTATGGGTCAACTCTCACTCTATAATGGCTTGGCGCCTCTTGAACTCATCGAGCTCACTGCCTTTAGTAGCAGTTGCCAGTTTGGCCAAACTTCTTGAGCTTCCTTCTGCACCTCCATCTTCACATGGAGCTTGAAGAAGAGTTTTCGATAAATTTTAAGTCATCGAAATGAGTCAAACCCTAAGAGAACTCCTTACTCCGGGTGAAGTAGTTCTAGAGAGCATAGTGTGACTAGTGTTAGGAATCTCACACAGTAGTGCCTCATCAGCGGGAAGAAGGAACTGCTCCACTACCTTGTCATATTCAACTCGGGACTCTAGGACGAACTCCCTAGTGTCCGTTCGACACTCAAGAATGAAAGGACGCTCTTTTGACTCCCCCTCATAGCGAGGGCATGACTTAGGGCCCATCAGAATGGATTGCATCTTCAAAAGTGAAACGGTCTGACAAACGTCATCAAAAGTCATGTTGCATTTAATGAATGTACAATTAGTGTCGGCACTTCGCCGCCCCGTCGCCATCAACAATTAATGCGGCGTCGGAGTCATAATGACCTTTTGAACCAGAGCCTTCAAAGCTCCTCGAACACGCCTTTACTCCAACAATCTCATCACTGCACCAAGGCGACTTGGCCAAACAATTGGCGGCACATGTAAAATAGGGTGTATGAAGCAGAACTGCACACATTCGGCCAAAACTACCAACATTCCCCTCTAAACCCTCTATAAATAAATAATGGTTGGTTCCACAAAACCACGGTACGCGATTTCCACACACGAAAAGTCAATAAGAACATACTTTATTTTTCTCTTCAGATTAACTAGAAACAATCACTAACTTGAGCATTGGAAGGCACACCGAAGGAAACAAAATTCTGGTGCCTCTAACTTCTGTTATTTGTGCAGTGAAGTACAAATTAAGGCTCTCCACTGAAGATTAACCATTAAAGACGATTAAGGGACCCAGAAATCTATTTTAACTCCCCTAAATCGCACCTAACTTTCTGACATTAACAAGTAATGCTCCAACAAAAAATTTCCACCCTTTTTATATCTACAGCAGTGCTTTGACAGTTGTACCTACGTCCTATACGTAACTGGATTGGATCCCGTGTTTTGGCCTTCTACAGTCCTCCGCACGCAGGCCTAGTGACTTTGCTAGCTGGCACTATACATAGACTACGAACCTTTTATATGATTTTTATAAAGGCAATAAAGAAAAAACAAAACAGACCTGCTGATCAAGTGATTCCATCATCGTGACTGGCATTTTTAAATCGGATGTATACGCGCAATAAAAGGGAAGGCCCGTTGAAGTGAGAGGACGGTCAACGTGAAAAGATGGACAAATTTTCACATACAAATGAAGAGAACTTCACCAAAACTAACACTTCTAGTCACGTCTACACCTTTATGTTAAAATATTCAAAGATCTCTCAACTACAAAACTTTACCTTACTGATTGATTTGTGTCGAGCTACAAGTTTAGCGAACTTGCCTGTGATATATCAATACAATAATATACATACAATGCCGTAAGTAGGGACAACAATACCTTCTGGAAACATTTGCTTCTATGCAGAGAGAACTTGTCCCAGCCACGAAGGTATCTTCTTGGTTTGCTTGTGATTAAGAACGAATTTCTTGCCAAGGCCGTTTACTAATTCATCGGGCTCGTCTTTGTTTGTTGGGCAGTTTAGATAATTCTGAGAATTTATCACATTTAGCGTCTGGAAGATGATGACCGTGGAGGACTCCTGCTGTATTTTGGTGGGTTAGTTTTAGCAACATCAACAACTATCATCCAACCATTTATGATCTGCAAATCACCAAATAAATAGAGGGTAAGTTCCTAAAAAACCAGGGGTTTTTACAAAGATGTGTATGTTCGCAAGATGATACCTTTCCATTCATCTCTTTAAGAGCTGCACCTGCATCTTCTTCTGTTGTGTACTCTATGAAGGCATAACCCTTCGATCTCTTTGATATCTTGTCCATTATAATTTTTACTGTCACAAGAGAAACATTTATTTCAGCAACTCCAACTAAGAAGATGATGGCAACGGTCAATAGAATATTAGTCAGAAAAGAGTACAAACCTTCAACAAGTTCGCCAAATGGTTCAAATGCTGCTCGTAGAGTTTTCTCAGATGTATAGAAGGAAAGCCCTGCCAATAAAATATGATCACAAATTTTTAAAATCTAACAATGATAATTTCAAGTAAGAAATTTACATTTGCTATTCATGACAGCGGACACAATCAGTAATAAACAAATGATAGCATACGATAATCAATCCACATGGAATGACTAAGTTTATTGTGATCGACACTCATTCAGGCTTACATGTATTGGCCTGCAATTATCATAAAAAAAGATGAAATATCGGTGAATTCAATCACTGGAGCGAATTTTTCATGGATCTGAAATAAGTTTAAATGTAGTTGTGACATTTTTCTGTGAAAGTTTATACATGACAAGCACAGACAAATCTAGGAATTATTCATGGCTGGAAGGCCAAATTAGAAGCAAAAACTGCTATTGCATAAACAAAATTCAGTGACTAATAATAAGAAAATTATGCAATTTACCATAATTCTTCTCTCCCTCTCACTTCTTTTTCTGAGCAAAAAGGCGGACGTTTTCTACTGAGAATAGTAGACAAAGAGAATTCTGAGTATATCTTCTTTTTAAGAGAAGAAAAATGTTATCCTAAATTGGTTGAAGAGAAAAATAAATTTGATATTTGGTACATAAAATAAGCTTATTTTTATAGGTAGTTGATTTTAGATCTCTTGATAATTACTATAGAAATAGACATAGCACCTCCTTTAAAAATATGGTTAGTTAAGACACTTTGATAGGGTGAAGGGAGTGTTTGGCAACTTTGTAAAATTGGGCCAGCACTGAATCTGGTCCAATTTTGTGTTGCTTCTTATTTATCAAAATTCCGGGATAGATCTGGCCCCATTTTTTGTACCCAAATAGTGTCACTAAACTAGTTTTGTTTTGGACCAGAGGGGGTCTAGTCCAAAACAAAACTAGTTTAGCACAAAACTGGTCTGGCCCAGTTATGCTCCGTTTGCCAAACTGACCCTAAAGGATAGGTAACTTTTCCTCATCTTTTGATGCGGAACAAATTTAAAGGTCAGATCTTATACAAGTGCAGTACATAAGATTGTCAGGACTTACAGATATAGATTCAATTTTAATCTTTTAGGACATTTGAAAGGATATTTGATTTTTTTTTTATTCAGTTATCTAGATTTGAATTTAAAATTATATTAGGAAGGAAGTTTGAGTTTGAATTTAGGGTCAAGTGTGGCAGACACCTCAAAACTGGGCCAAGATTGACCCTGACATGGTTTTGTGATATACTATGTCACAACCTAATTTACACTTATTTAATTGGATCTAATTCAGAGTTATACGATACAAACAACCAACTCTCTTATTATTGCTATTAACACACATGCACACATTTCTTCTATATTATAAAGGAAGTTACAGTCTCCAGCCGCTTCATTCATTGGTTAATGAGTTCTAATGATTAAAATCATATGACTCATATGTGCGTTTTGTTGGCAACTTTTTAGCCAAGATGGGGATGGCTGATGGGCATGTTTTTGCTAGTGGCAATGTCTCCTTCATTTCATTGACATGTTTTTAACATTTGATTCTATTAATTTTTTTCAAGGTTAACACATAATCCATTTACATGGCAATTTCACAATTATAATGCAACATATACTAATCATAGAAATCTCAATAGCTAGATTACTGACTCCATAGTTGTATATAAATATTATATAACAATAAATGTAGTGACTAGCTCGCCAACAATATAATGTGTAAAAGATAAAATTTGGTCATAATGTTCTACAAGTTACTTGTGGTTATCAACAAGTAGAATAATATGTTATTAGCAAAAAAGAATTAAGAGTAATGTCACATATTATTTCTATTTTGATACAGGCTATGGGTGAATCAGAGCAGAATTGGCTTTAGGCGGCTCTTTGGCCTAAGGAAAACTGAGCCAACACTAACCCAATTACTCCCAGACAAGGTTTGATGCGGAATGATGGAAGATCAATGTGAGATTATAATCGGATAGCTCTAGATTAGTGCAAGTCAAGGCGATGTCAAGGGGAGAAGATAGAAATTAAGGCGAATGGGTTGTTAACTCAATGATGGAAGGAAGAAGGGTATAATGGGATTTCTAAGTTATTTTTATTCTAGCTGTATATGATGACATCAGCACGATTTTATCGAGCACATGGGTTGTTTGCTTTGGGAAAATAGACTTCCTTACTGTAGAGGACATGATGATAGAGGCTTCATGTTGGAGAAAGTCAGGACTCCTAGATTTTTCTATTTGGAAAAGAACTAAAGTAAAACAAGAAATAAATAAAGAACAAATAAAATAGCTAGACAAGGCATCTAATCCGAAAACAATGACATCACACTTTGGCAAATCACATGCCTACCTTAGCACACGGCTATGTTGTGCTAAAACATGTCTCAGTTAAATTGAATTTCGTTAATTTACCATCTCTAAACAAAGAATTCAAGTTCAAATCTATCTCTACAACAACTCAAATGTAACAATCTAATCTAAAAGATACTTTAAGGTCTCGTTTAATAGGGGTTAGTGGAGGGTTTAAGGGGTTTAGCCCCTCATTAATCCCCCAAACAATAAAAATATACCAAATGGCTAACAAATCCATACCTAATTTTAACTACCAATTTACCTGTCATTAGACAGGTTAACAATTCCGCACGAGGCAAAATCAAATTCATTCTGCCTCCTCACGTGGGGGTAGGCAGCATCTTTTATTTAAAAAATTAACATAGAAAGTTTGCTGTTAAGTCCCAGTTGAGAGGGTTGAGGTAGTGTACTATAAGATACGCCTTTGTTATATTATACATTATTAATATATAGGCTAAAATAGTACTTGCATTCTCGTATTGTATGCATCCTTGAATTATTTATAAATTAATTCTGTTTTAATGTAGTAATTTTTAGTAAAAATTACTACTTTCAATAAGGTTAAAGTTGATATTTTAAAAAAAAAAAGCGGGGATTAATCTCCTTGACCCTACTTTATTTGCCAAACATAAAAAACATAACCCTTCATCATAACTATCCAATTCAAACAACATTAGAGTATTTTTAACTCCTCATGAAGGATTAATGAAGATAACCCTTCTCCTTAATCCTCCTCAATGATAAGCACCTAAATCATTATCCCAACTGAATTCCAAGCTAACCAAATAGATAAAATCAAAATTCCCATCTAAAATCCTGACAGATAAAATCAAAGTCCCATCTAAAATCCTAACAGACAAAATATAAGAATCCTACCAACTTTAACCTCTTTCATTTACATAAGATATTATCATTGGAATTGTCTGGCACCAAGGTTCTTCCCAAATTAGGATCGAGTCAATCCTGGTTCCATTTTGGGAGGTAACCAAACAAGCCCTTTAATTGCATTAGAGATAAAATTCCAACTTAGTTTAGGGAGTGTGATTTTCATTATTTCAGCAAGGAGAAAATTAAAATAAAAGTCATGAAATGTTTAGCAAGTTATTTTCTAGTTGACATGTGATTTGCACGGTTAAGTGTTTGTGCGATTCCGACTTAATAAAAAGATTAGGTGTTATGAGTGATTATAGATTAAAAGGAATTTATCATTCCTTTTGTTAGATCCAAATTTATGCCTCTACAAACAAATCCTATCCATCAATCTCCAAAAATTCCAAATAAAACAAAAAAAAAGCAAAAAGCGAGTTTCCTCAAATAAAACAAAAAAAAAAAAGTTTCCTCAAAGCAACATCTTTCCAAGTAAGCAAAAAACAACAAAAAGAGGGAAATCCCCTCATTTTCTTCCTTTCTTCGAACTAAAAACCTCCCTTCCTCACAATCATCACTCCTCTGACGGATAATCGTCAAGGAATTTCATTGTATGCTCTCAACCGAAGCCCAATTTTGATCTGGACTTTGATACGCTGCTTCTTCAATGGAAGGACAAGGAGCTTATAAGTCAATCTCCTCCCATTTTCTTGGAGTTGAAGTATGTCAAACTACTGGAATTTTCACATACATAGTTTAGGTGAGTCTGTGTGCATGTGTGTGCATTGGTGAGCTTGTAAGTGTGTGGGCTCTCATGCATAGGGGGCGAGCGTGCGTGCATGCATGTTCGAGTGAGTGGATGTGTGATGTAGAACACATAAAGAACAAATTCATGTAGTAGTGGGACCATCTCGAGCCAAACACGAATATAGATGCATTGCCGACTTGAACACGAAGAAATGGCAATATCTTCTAATATAAAGGGTCAATCAGACATATAATACATGACAATCGCTTATCTCGAAAAGACGGAGCCAAACCAAATTTCTAGGTTCCCAAACGCCTCTTGGTGGGTTCCGAGGTTTTTTTAAATTTTTGTGCTGCGTTATTGTGTGTAGTCTTCTGCGGGTTGGTGGATATGGGTGGGTGTGACTAGCAAGTTTTTAAATATCGGATATCGGGAAAATATCGGATGACCAAAATTCATATCGGATTGCGGATATCGGGGAAATATCGGGGATATGTGGTAAATATCGGAATGCCATAATGAATGTTTGCATACATAGTATAATGCATTAAAATGTAATCTTAACATATGTAATGAAATTTAAGCATACAAAATATGAATAATATATGTTTAGGATCACTAATCAACCTTCTAAAACAAACAAAAGTGCAAAACAACCTTGCAACATTCGATGATCTTTTTTTAGGGAAAAATATCATTTGATATAATGGGAAAATCTTGATATCTCGCCCAAAAATTCCAAACACGGTATATTATTTTGCAACAAGCTATATAAAAAGATATATTGGTCTCACATATCGGCTAATATATCGGCCATATCGGGGATTTATCACTCAAAATAGCTAAAAAGCGGTAAAGGATATTTAAAGACCATATCGGTTGCGGCAAGTCCTGTAAAAGGATATATCGGGGGATATATCGGGCCATGTCGGGGATATTTAAAACAATGGTGACTAGATGAGTGGTCGTACGTGTGCGCGTGAGGGTGGATAAGTGAGTGAGCATACATGTGTTACTCATTTTCAATTTGGCTTATAACCTTGCCTACACTCTTTTTCCTTCTC